AAGAAGCACAAACATGTACCTTTCCTGGGATTACTGTCCTCTAGGGACCAAACTAACTTGTGGAAATACAAGTACCTGGAAGACCTAAGAAAAGAAACTAATAGGATACTCTGAATTTGCATCTTAAACATTTTTTTTTCCATGTCACACTGCAGAAATGCAATGGAAGTAAAATTGGCAAATACCATCCATATGCTACATTACAAAATGACTGACAGAGCACAATGCAAACATTACTCCTGGACTGAACCAGAAGAATGCATTAAAAAAAATGCAGAAGTAGAATACTGATATACATTAACTCAATCTTCTCTTATTATGGAATTAAAAAACTTATACCTGTAATTATGGCTTACCCCATTACAAGCAGAGCTGCCACAGAACTGAACACGGGCCAGCTTTGTACATGAGTTCAAAGTCAGTGTGATGTTGCCTTATTTTCTTACTAACATCATCTTTATCCTCTCTTGCCCTTCTTCTCAGTTAACATGAGTTATGTACTGAAAGTGCTGAGATAAAGTAATGGTAAGGAGGATACCGCAAAAAGTATTTGAAAAGCAGAAGTAATTTACTACATGTCTGCTTTGTTTTACTTCCTAAGCCTTCCTGTTGTGAAAGGAAATTCATCTTTTCTGGCAGACTCCAGCGTTTTTAGGCCTGAGAGCTCCCCAGGAGCTTTCGAGTACAGGTAAATGGATGCGAGACTCAAGGAGCACAGTACAAGGAACATGGAATTAATGCTGGTTTTTGCTTTGGCTGTCACATCTGACGTATAAGGAGAGTGCTATACCCTTGCTTGCAAGAAGCATCTAGATGTAAAAACACAAGGCTGAGTCCTCTGCTCATTACTATGGGTCTGAAATGCCAGGAATGGAAAGGTCATTTTGCTGGTGGGTGAAGCATGTAGGATCCACGCCCAGCAAAGTCTCCATGTGACACAGACATCAGGGTGCTCCGAGCCCCAGGGCCCCGGCCTGTAAAAGTGCAGAGCAAAAACTGTGGATGGACAATAGGTGCAGCCTATTCTGCACACAGCGGAGACCCCAAGAGTAGGCACAGGGGAAGCATCCGCTGCCTAATCTAAATAGCACACAGAGTGGTTTTGTCCTCTTCTGTTCTCCTGCCAGTTTGCACATATGTTCTGAGTATACAGCCTGCCCTCCAAAGACCACTTACAGGGGCAATCACAGGGAAGCAAAGCAGGAAGAAAGTATCCAAAAAGGGAATTTGTTCAAGAGAAAAAAAATTGAGACAGATGTAGAGTGACTAGTCACTGCTGGCGGTAAATAAGCCTCTGCCTGGAGTGCTCTCTTTCTCTAAGAAGCGTTCACATATTCCATTTCATATTTCCTTTCTAGGAAGTCAAATCTTTGTTTTCCTGGCATTTGTTCTTTTCTTTCTTTTTCTTTCTCTTATATACTTTTTTCCCTTCTGTATGGTCTAAAATGGTCTTCTCATTTTCCCTTCCTCTTCTACATTGTGCTCTCTTTCAAGTGCAACATTTCTCCAACCCCCCTCTCACACAGACCTAATTTCCCTGCACTGTCCCAGGCAACACCTTTCACTACAACCCTGTCCTAGTCTCTGTGCCACAAGCACTTCCCTCTGGCTCTACATGTGCATAAGTATACGGGTGCTTCACACCTGCTCCTGCATTACAGTCCCCACTTTTTCTCATGTGCACACCTCAGAATTAAGCAAATGCAACACAGACAGAATATTCATCCTCTCGCTCCCATAAACCTGTCAAGGCACATAGGCCAAGAAGCTATCTCTGCATAAATCTAAGTCTCCTGCGAGGAAGCAATCTACTCAAAGGCAATAAAGCCAAAGGATATATTATTATCTTTGGTGTGGATCCTACTGGGCTGGGAGGTTGGCTGCTGGCTCCTCTCTGAACTTTCCTTCCCAGCCAGAACAGCCATCCCACAGACAAGTCTAAGCTTCCTTTCCTTGGTCTGATTTCCTCCTCCTGTTATTTGGCCGGTAACCCAAAGGACAGGGTTTAATTATGGAGTTTGGAAACCTGGCTTACACTGCTCTGTCAGCACAGGATAAAACTTCAGCCCGCCTTCTGAACCAGCACCATTCTGCACCATTGATACCTGCATTATCCCAAACAGCATAAAATGAACCACACGGAAGAAATGCCAAGTGAAACAAAAAGATGGTTTTAGTCTTTAAACTTCTACGGCAAATTTCACTGAGAAAAACACCAAAACACTGCAGCTCAGAGATTATTGTATATTAAAACTGTGCCATCATTTTGACTGTAGATTAAATAAATGGCAAGGCCTTATTCTAGACAGGAGAGACATTGGAAAGGATGGATCTGAAACAGGTCCAGGCTCCAAAGCTCCCCTCTCAGAGAGGAATGCTGCAGCAAGCCACCAGGTAATACAGGATGGGATGTTAACATCATTTGTACAGCTTTCAGATGACCAATATATTTCCTATGCAGATGCCCCATTGAAGACTCATAAAGCATTTTACACTTCTGGAGATAAAGCATCCATGTCAAATACAAAGGGCCAGACGTTAATATCAGACCCACATGTGATTTCTGAGGTAAGGCAGGGCACTGTGCACAGACCATAGCAGGATGTGTCTCTCAGGGGCGAGCACCTTGTGCCAGTGACATATCACTGTTGCCCTGGCATGGAAGGACACTTCAGTACTGTTTTGTCCTTCACCATGGATGAGCTGTCGCTCTTTAAGTAGTTTCTCCCCACTGTGCTCTTGCAGTGACCCTGTTTCACAGAGAAGCTGAGGCAATGAATTCAGAGGACAGGCTGCTGGAATGTCACGGCAGAAGTATTGGGGTGGGGCTGCGTGGGTATAGAATAAAGATGATTTGAAAGTGCATCCCACTCAGGCAGGATAAAGCTCTTTTTCTTCACAGCCATGACAGTGATAGATAGCTTGGTGAATCCGAGCTGTATCTAGTTGGTACCTGGCTTCAGTCCCTGATGTTGCAAGGTGATTTTCTGCCATTTTACAGGCAAGACTAAGCAGAATCTGGGATTTTTCTGTAGTAAGTGAGGAAGGTCATGAGGGAGGAAGAACCTTCTCTTCTCTGACTTGTTCTTGCCTTTCTGAGCCCCTCAGGAAGTTCATCGTGGGCAGTTGTGCTTCTTCATGATCGGCACCCAGTGGTGCCAAGAGTGGTAGAGGTGCTTTGGAGGTATAAGGCCTTAGGCACTTCTCTTGTCCAACTCGGCAGCTCAGTGCCACCATCTAGTCAGGACTTGGATGAGACAGAGGTAACGACCACATGTGGGGAAGACCACCAGAAGTGATAGCAAAATTAATAGCCAACCTCTGGCTGTTGCACAAATGGAGAACATTTGTCATACAAAGAGTATCCCAGACTTTGGGGGGGAGTTAGCCCCCAGCCTGACAATGACATAGAAGCAGAGACCCAGTCAGCTTTTAGCCATCTGTGTCTGCAGAGGAGGTTGCGATCTCTCCCTTTCAATGGGCGCTGAGCTTTTGCTCATGTTTGTGCCTCTCCATAAGCAGACTAGTTTAGTACAAGTTGAAGCTCTGCTTTACATCATCCGCAGCCTGGAGCTGATGGAGGAAACAGCCCTTAGTGTCTACTGAGCAGGACACCTCACCGAAAGCACCAGAGCCCTGGGGATGGCGGCAGCAAGGCAGTCACAGGGAGCCTGGCACTTGTCTGCCTGCAGGTCCACCCTCTCCTCCTGCCAAAGTGCCACATCTGCAGTCAATAAGGGCCCACAAGCTGGCTCCTCCTCATTAGAGGAGAGAGGGCAGCTGGCAGGGGATCCTCCAAGGGCTCCCAGGCACAGGAATCAGTCCCCTCCCAGTCTGGAATAGCCCAAATTTGGTGACTTTCTGGGCATGCTGTAAAGGACAGCTGTTTGACAGGGTCTCCAGAGAAAGCTGTGGGTATGTTTCCTACATGATGAAGGATATAGGTGGCTGGCCAAGTGCCCACAGAACTGATTTTAATGCAGTTCAGGTTGAATTTACTTTCATGTGCTGTATAGTTCATTATACACAGTGCCCTGGACAAGCATGTGTTGTTTCAAACCAAACCAAAACCATACTATTTTAAATCCAAACAAACAAGAAAAAAAAAATACAAGTTGCAAAAGATCCTTTGGGCTGTTTAGAGGGCCTTCTCAAACACTGGGAGGCTGAAGATGAAAGCACTGCTTGCCTCGTTCTAACAAATAAGGCTTCTGTTATTTTTATTGGCAATAAATACTTCATTATTTAGCCGTAAGCAAAACTGAGCCATTAACTTCGCCTATGCACGTAGCACTAACCCAGGAAAATATTTCCAATAGTATTAAGAACCCAGATGATCTCAGGATAAGCAATCAATGGACAGTTAAGTATGTAACATAACATAACCCAAAAGATGACCAACAAGAAAGATCACACACAAAAATAAACTGAGAAGAAGCAGAAGAGCTCCTTCCTAAACCTTATGAAATGTTAACGCCCAGTGATAACTATTTTGATATGAAGTCTCCAATCACACCTCATAGTATTACAGATTAATAAAACTCCTTCTGTAAGTCTCTTAAAAGTAATTAGTAAGTGAGCTCAAGTGTTGTATAATGCTTGAAAACGCCTTCTACCTTATATAAGTTTAGGAATATTTATTGAAACAGTATAACTGTAGGGCACGGTCCAGACAGGTACTGCTTTTTGCTAAGCAATTGCCACCACTATCCCAGAATTGAATCTGGATATTTTGACAGAAAAAGACTGCCTATCTTTTGCTGCATTATTTAAATATTTCAGATATTTGGCCAAAATACAGAAGTGACACATTACAGAAACATTCACAGCTGCAGAAGCAATAAAACCTCTACAATATTTTCATTAGACTGACCTTTTCTCAGAAGAAGTTATGAAATGTTTAGAATTGATCACCTTTCTATGCAGCATTCAGTGTATTCTGATAACAAAACAGAGCAACCGGAGATCATGTTCTCGGGCTCTTGAAAGTCATGGCTTACCTGGCTCCACTTCATGCCATCCACTTGACTGGCTGCCACTTCCTGGAGAGCGCCCTTGGCTTGTATAAAACGGCTCCTCACCAGGACTGTCCATCTCATCCTCCACAGACTTGAGACGTTTTGTAGAGCTGAGAAAGTAAAAAACACATAATAAATACTATATGTATGGAAAGGAACAAAGGCACTTCCATTGAAACATATCGTGCTAGCCCTGCTTGAGACTAACTTGGTTATGGAAACTGTTACAGATTTAGGGCCCTAAGAAGGGGAAGGTACAAGTTCTGCAGAGCCATCCTGCCTGCCTAACCTCTCAGCATCCACTTTTTGTTTCTGATTTCCTTTGTTGCCAATGACTAAGCTTCAGTGGGATACAAAACAAGCACTCCAGACTGAACCCCTAAACACGCATTAGTTTAACTAGAAGATAGTTTAATATTTAGGCTTTTACAGATCAAAAAGTTGGACATTTTTCAAACCACTCAGAGGTCAATAAAAAGGCAAGAATTTAATTTGTATCACACGTTTTTTGCAATTTGAATGAATATGGTAATGACACACAAGACTTATTTTAACTGTCAGATTTTTCCACAGCTTATTCTGAAAGACAATTTGTTTATCAGTTCAAACTTGTATTTTCAGTCTTTCAACTGTAGCCATTAAATTAACCCAGACTTCAGTCCCATAAGAAGCAGCATAGACAAGTGAATGACGGAAGAACCCATTCTTGGTTCAAATGTTCATGTCATCCTACAAGTATGAACATTTTACTCTGCAACTGTGTGCCACCAAGCATAAAAAGCCCCAACCGGTATCTCTGGCCAGTGTCAGTACTATAGGATTCCCCTGTGATATACCACATCTCCCTCAACAAAGGCTCAAGGAGACAGAAGAGCCCTTTCAGTGGTCTCCAGTGGACCCTGATTCACACTCCAGTAGTTCTGCAGGGAGAGGATCCCAAAGCCAAAGACAATGAGCTTGGCTCTGTTTTCTATAATGAGTTGTACAGACTGCGTGAGGACATTACCGAGAATTTCTCTTCTAAGTACTTTTCCAAGGCTGGGTCAGCTCACTTTTTTTTTTTACCAAATCTGTATTCTATTAAGACTTAAGGCATTCAAGAACAGGCTCCTCTGTGTAGGGGGAACATATTTAACAGACAAAATATTCCACTGCAATTTCTATCGGTTTAAAACTTGCAGCCTCTCCGCAGCTCCTCACCCGAAGCTCTATACAGGTAGGAGCTGGCGGGTATGCAAAATCAGTTTGTGAGAAACAGGAAGAATGAGTCTTGCGGTATGCATGGAATGCAGGTTTGGCCATTCCTTAATTTAGAGAATTGTTATGTGTCAATAGGGGAAATTGTGTGCATACAATATAATTACTGCCTCATAATTCTGCTGAGTCTGTGTATTTAAGGAATATTTTTTTTCTGACTGGGAACAGCCTAATGAGAGGAAAACAAACATATTACCAAGTTATTAACTATCCATGCTGTTTATAATTAGCTCCTTATCAGTGATAGCTATTTGCAGAAAAATAGAAGAGCAACAACTGAGCTCTTAAGTAACATTAATAACCTCACTTTTTTGCTTCTGGAGTCACAAGTAAATTCTACCTGAGAATGGTCCTAATGATGAGCACTGTAGGGTACACAGCCTACATGCAAAAAAGAAGGAGCACGAAGTTTTTAATTGTTGTGTAAAGGAAATTGTAGTCACAGAGCTTCATAACGTGCACACTAAGTGCAAGATGCAGAATGCTCTTCCAATCACTAGAAACTGTAAGAAGTTATTGCTAAGAGCCTCTCTTTAAAGATTTTTTTTTTTTAATAGAAACGACAGCTATATTCAAACTATAGAGACTTTTTTACACGTGTACTTGCTTACTGCAAAGCTGGTGGCACTGCAGACTGAGATGAAAACGTAAAAGAACCCTGGGCTGAAGTTAGACTTTCTTGTCATGTCTTTGAAATAAGTGATCTATTTTGGCTGCGGGGGAAAAAAAAAATCAAATCAATCTAGTCCCTTAATAGTGTTCAAGACTACTAGAGTCACTGGGCTTGTTTATAAATCTAATCTCATGGACGGTTAAAGTGAAAGGCAAAAAATAAAAAATATCCTTGTTTGATAGTTAGCATTTAAGCCAAAATCAAAGTAAGACCAGGCAGTCATCTGCATTAACAATTCAGTTTTCCAAAGGCTGAGTCACAGATTTCTAAATGCTATACAAAAACTAGAATGGCCAAGGTCCTAAACGGATGTTAGTCTCACAGATAACACTTTTTATGATAAAGATCGCATATAAGTTCATCTTAAGGCTTTCCTGCTAGGACAAAATAGCACATCTCAATATGCTCCAAATTCTCTTCTGCCACAAGTGACACTCCAACAATTCCAGTGGAACTTCTCCTGATACACCAAGATACAAGCCAGAAGTTACACAAGTCAACGCAGCATTTTTTCTTTGAAGCTTATACATATAAAGAGAACTTTAACAGAAATCCTCTTGAACATTCAGCTCTGTGAATCTGAAACAGCTTCACATCTTGAGGCCCCCAAACAAGTTGTCAAAGAATTTAATGGTTACTTCCCCAGATGAGTAATGATGCTGGCCTGGGTTTCCAAGTAACCTGTTAGTAAGCAGAGATTAAATTACCTGGTAGAGGATGTGCTAGGCAAGGACCTCCTCATTGCTCCTGGGCTCATGCTGTAGTATGAAGAACTTTCCAAATCTGAGAGGGAGAAATTAGGGCCTGTTCCTGCAGCTATCGGTGCTGGGGAAACAAAAGAGATTGCAGTCAGTAAGTCGTGTGAATAAGGCATGAATTGCACTTCAAAATCACCTTCTTCCTCATGAGTGTGTTTAGTTTCACAACGAGAACAGGTGGGACAGGGAAATTAGAAAATGCTAATGGTAACTGGCATTGCAATCAAGAAGATGTAAATTTTATCAAGAATACAATGTTCCATGACATAGACTTTCTTACATTCCTCCAAATAAAAACATTAAACAATTATGTCAAGACTTTCTTTAAGTACTGCTTTTCTATTAATACCATTCTAACATTTAATGAAACTTGTTGCTTTTGCTTTTAGGACAACATTGCACCTATTGGCATAGTTACAAATAGGCTGCATCATCCCTGTAGTGTGCTTGGCATAATCTATAAGCAATATAGGCAGGGAAATACACACCTCAGGACCTTTGGTATATATGTGACGTACATCCCCAAGCACAGAGGTTACAAATGCTCCTTGGAGAAGGCACCACAGCAGATGAGAAACTCGAGTTCTTTTCTGCCTGCGAACATCCAAGTTTTCCTCCAGCCTCTCCTCCAGCTACATCAGAGCTAGAGACATACGACTCTCAAAAACCTTTATCCAGCTGTTGGCTTCCACTGTTCACCTCTCATTACCTTATCCAGCACCTAAGTTTCATTGTAAAGGATATGAATACCTTTGACTTCCCTGCCCTAAAGCCTTGGCTTTACATTAAAACATCATGAATTCCTACACACCCCAAAGTTTGCAGGCACAAGCCTATGAACTTCATGTGCCATAATCTTCTGGGAACAGAAAAGGAATGGAGCAGTTTAATGTTAAAGTCAACAGATAGTGCATTTCACAAAAACCCACCACTATACGGCAAATGGTACCATATCCACTGTCGCTGTTCCAGTGCTATTTACAGGACAGCACAACTTTGGGAGCTGACAATTACAGAGGATGATTTTCTCTCACATTTCAGAGACATCTGAAAAAGGACGTACTATACAATAAAATGCACAAGCTTGGCCTGCAACATACTGTCTGAAAGCCCTGATTCACTGCAACAAAGGCTAAGCAGTCTCAATGCCACACAAGGATGCTGAGCCAAGTTTAATCTTTGGTCTGAGAATCTGGCCCATTTTCAAACATGAAAACATCTTTCACTCCGATGGGGCAGGAGTGAGGAAATGAAGACAGGATAGCTCCTATCACCCAGCTAACATGTCTGGGCTGAAACACAGGCTTCTGGGAGTGCTGCCATTGACTGTAATGGGGCCAGTATTTCACCCCAAGTCTTAAGGAGCTCACAATGTCAGATTTGACAGAGGAATAATGTAGCTTTGCAGCTGCCTCGTCATCCCCACAAGACAATTAGTTGTTGTTTGGCAAGGACCTTTTAAGAATGTCATTGAGACAGAAAGGGAACAGCCCGGATAGCCATGGACTTTTAAAAGCATGGGATGGAAAATACACAACACCATTAAAACTTGAGAAAATCTGGAATGATCATTAAAAGGAATGAAGTTGGGAAGTAATTTATGACCAGAACATTCAAATCCTTTGTTATCTTCTCTTAACTATCATACGCTTCCTGCACACCGGGTATAGTATATGAGAGGGTGTGTTAACAGAAAGAAAGAAAAATTAAGCACAGTAAAATTAACTCATTTTATCAATTTGTGCTTTCTGCAACAGTTTCCTGACAGCAGCTACAAGAGGCTGTAAAACTGATGAATTTGCATGGAAAAAGAAACCGGTGTAAGTAATTTGTGTAAAAGGTAACACGGACATGGACTGCTATAATTCAGACACCCTGCAGATAGCAGACTGCTGCAGTGTGAGCAGTTATGGGTTAGAAAAATGACCACACTGCAGTCAGTCTGACTTGAATGGAAATCAATCATAAAGGTACTCTCTGCAGCATCTACTCCACAGTTTTCAGCAACTTCCTTGCCAAACAGATCTGTGCTCTGTAAACCCTTTGCTGATCAATTCCTCTGCACCCTCTACCTACCAAAGCCTAACTTACAGTTTAAGCATACTATTTTCCAAACATATTTCCAGGAACATAAAAAGGCAAGTGCTAAATTAAAGCACTGTTTCTTTCAGATGCACAATGAATTTCCTAGCCATTGCAAGATTTATGAAACAGTTTTATTCCAAACAGATATGGAAGAAAAACTGGTATCTGGATAATGCTTCTCTTCTTTCTCTCACCCTATCTCTGTTTATTATCCTCTCTCCCCAAATCCTGGACATTTCTGTTCCAGCCCTTGAATTGGCCCTATAGGAAAATGAAATGCATCTCCAGAGCAGGGGTGGGGTAGGAACAACATATTGCTAACGCTGTGTTAACTGAGCACAAAGTAGAAAGGGCTAATCACCCAGTAATTTCCACCCAGGTAGCAAACATGAAGGATGCTTTGTTTGTCACAAGCCAAACCACCTTGCCACACTCAAGACCCTATTTGCAACCCAAGGGTTAAAGAACAAACCCAACTTCTAATATACATCAACAGACCTAAGCAGCAGAGGTTAGTGTGCTTAGCAGGCTTATGGTGGTGAGTGCTCGAAACCCCTTAGCAGCCCTCACACAGGAGCCACGATGCTGCCACAACCAGCTCAAGGTCTCTGGCCCTCGAAGTGCTGTGGCAAACATTGCACAGTGCTAAGCTGTTCCAAAACCCCTTCTCCTGCCTGCCTGACAGGCACATATTCAGTGCCTGACTTTCAGGAAAGGGTATTTGTATCTTCGCTTGCAGTTATCCCATTTACTGCTACAAAACAGAGCAACGTGCCAAGGTGTAAAGCCCACCCTGACTGACAGTGCCTACATTCAGCCTGTACCCAGGGCTAAACTATAACAGCCGCTCTATTACCTGACAACCCCTCACCAGCCAGTACAGAGAATCGGGAGAAAGGAGAGCAGACCCATGGGTAGAAGCACAACAGATTTAATGAAACACCAGCAATACTAACAGAGATATACAGAGTTATACCTAGCCAAATGACTATCCAGTCATCACAATCAACCAGATAGCAGCCCTCAGAAGACAGAGGAAGACCAGAAGAAACCCCAGAGGAGCTCCCTCTCCTCAGCAAACCTTCCCCATTTATAATGAACATGACATTATGGGATGGGCTACACCTGTAGCTAACTCAGGTCAGCTGCCCTGGCTGACTTGAAACTGCTAATGGCCTGCCTAGTATGGCTGGGCTGTGTTTCTGTCCCAGCCACACCAGGACGGTCAGGAAGAGGTTAATGTTTTTCATCTGGATGGTGCAACGTCAATTCCTCTTCCTGGCTGGAATTTGGTTGAAGCCCTGCATGATTTTTGTCTCTGCTTCAGCCTCAGTGGAGCTGAGCCACACCTCACACCTCCTGTGCTGGGCTTTGGCTGCGGGAAGCTTGCTGCCTGGCATGAGCCTCCTTTAGTCACCCTTGTGTTTTGCAGTGCAGCGTGCCAGGAGAGTGGGCACGGTGCAGCTAGCCCAGCCAGGAGGCATCTGAGCCTGCTCCAAATGGCTTTTCACACTGTCCACCTCACACGGGCACAGAAAGCTGATAGGAAGGGAACACTTTTATTAATTTGCAGGATTCCCTGCAAACGCTGGAGTTCTGGAGAGTAAGCAAAGGGATCAAAGTGGTGCAAACTGTGACAAAACTCTGTCTAAACTAAACCTCTTCGTTGTAGCATCTGACAATCCACCGTGCAACCTCCCTACAACCCTGTTCCTCCACCCCAGGAACAGGCTCTGGCCCCACACAAAGCGGCAGCATGGTGGGGAAGCTCCACTCCAGCACAGCTGGCTGTCACACGCTGCAAATGGCAGAAACTCCAGGCAATGACATTAAAAACACACCATTTCCCCTGCTAAGAAGTGGTCTGCAGCAAAGTGACCTTCTGATAGTTCAGGAACATCTTCCAAACAGGAAAGGATGTCAGAAATTGCAGTTGCAAGTCAAAACAATAGTCTCCACCTACGTGCCAGCATCAAGATGCCATCTGACCCACGACTCCAACCTGACAGGGGGATGAGAAGGAAGGACCCCTCTTCCCCTAACACCCAGCCCACTGATGTCCGCAAGCTTTCTAAGCAAACAAACTGATGATGGCCTCAGCTCCCATTTCAGCTGCTGGCGTCACAGAAAAATCCCCGTGCAGATGGGACATGCTTGGCTCGCTCTCAGGGGCGGGAGGAGCCAGTTTGCCCAAAAGGAGGAGGGGGAGGAAGGTGGGTGCCTCTGCCTGAGCACCAGCACTGTGCTGCTCCCGGGGATGTGGGGCAGCATCGCCCCTGCTGCCAGCCTGCTTCCTCTGCTGCCAGCTTGTTAGCTCACATCTTCACCCAAAATGTCAAGAAAAATAACAGAGAAATTAACAAAAAGCCCACTGACTTAACCCAATTGGAATATTTATTTTGAAAAATTTATTGAATTACAGAACAGGAAACCCACTAAATAAAACCAGCCAGGCTGGCATTTGTCTTTTTTGGAAGACGGCACTCTCTTCTAGTCATGTTAGTATTTAGTTTCTCTTTTTTCCATTTTTATGTATTTATTTTTACAAACAAGCTGGGATGTGACTAAGATCATTATATGTGTAACACTGCAGCAAAGCGATAATGTGTTTAAGGTTAAATGGGAGAAACATGACATTTGACTAATAAACTTTTTCCTGTGTTGTGACTCCATAAACAAAGGGAAACACACTGCGCTGCTGCTGCTGCCGAAAGGAAAGGGGAGCTGGGTGGCTGTTTTTTTTTTTTTTTTCTGCAAGGCCTTTGTTTCCTACACACTGTATCATTAGATTCAAAGAGGTTTTGCGGAATACAACAGATATGAAATGTGTGATGTTCATTTTAAAATTACAAGTACAGCCTGCTATTGACCATCTAATTATGCTGAGTTCCATTTATAAACATAGCTAACCACTAAGTTTATAGAGACTTTTTGTGCTGCTTTAATAGGATATTGATCGAGAGCAAGGTTTGAGTGGACTGCCATTGAATTGTGTAATGGCATACAAAAGGCAAGGTCACGGCAACTGTTCACTCTATGCCTGCAGTCTATTTTTTATTATAATCTTTTTTCTTCTCTCATACCCAAGCCCACACAGCGTGTTTTGGATAGCAGCGCTTTGCTAAGGAATATAGAATATCTTTTTAAATGTTAATTTTCATGCTGCTGACTTTAACTACCTTCACTACTGTAATGCTTAGTATAGCAGAAAGCATACAGGCTGCTGTTTAGAGAGAGCTGTTTTATTACACCCTGGCTTTCACACACGTGCTCTGCGTGGAGGAGAGCCTCTTCTCCTCTTCTGGGCTACAGGAAGGCAGCAGCATCCTCCCTGCCCTTTGCAGCTACCTGCCTGGCCCAGACCCACGATAGGAGCAGGGGCACCCCACACCTTGCCATGGGCACCCAGCACATGCTGGGGTTTGCAGGACTTTCCCTGTAGGTTGTTTCGGCTGTACCTGGCCACTGGATGAAAGGCATAAGGAAGCTATTTCCTCTGTTGCATCCATGCTCCAGGCCTGGAGCGGCGGCAGTTCCTTTCGTTTCTAGCACTCGTCTGCCTGCCTCACAGCCAGGACAACTTCAGCCCCTGTCCCCATTGCTAAAGCTGCTGCTAACCAAGTCTGGCACTCGCTGCATCCAGCAGCCACAGTGTTGCAGGATCCCGAGCTTTCCAAAATGCCTTGGCCACAAAAGCAACTCTTACCTGTGGAAGTAGTGTAACTGTTTCAGGGATAATCAGCTGTACCATTTCTGTGTGTATACAGGAGCAGTAAGAAACTGCACGTCTGCCTGTGTGCTTGTGGCATGTATGCTTGTGTGCTCGCTAGAAGGATTAAAAGTCACCCCACTTGCTCTGTAGAGTTCCTTACTGCACACAGCTAACATCTTAAAACCCAAAGCGTGGCATTTTCAGTCCAGGGTGCAGTCAGAATTCCCTTGTTTATCAGCACGAAGAATGATGTCATTTTGACAAATAACACAGCACAAAACAAATATGTTTGATTTGGCTCTAGTGAATGTTCATAAATCCTAAATCTTTCTTCACATCCTGGGCAGTGCAGTTTATCTGGCTGCTTGAAGGACCTCCAAGGGAGGAGATCTTCCTAGCAGCTCTCTGCATAAGTGCACATGGTGCAGCCTCAAAGCCAAGAGGGGAACAGTATTCCCCATGCTTCTTTCCATGCTCCAACCTGCCATGGCCTCCCAGCCTCTGCCAAGCAAACAGGACTGTATGCCTGGCAGTGGCTTGGTACCACAGCCGCCCCTCTGCCGGCACCTTTTGCAGAGGGTATTCTCCAGTGCCATGCAGAAAGCTGCACACAGTGAGTGGAATATTTTCCTAACAAGGGTAGAGAGGGAGGAGGTTTTGCCTGGCCAATAGCTGGCTGTCAGTTCATGAAACCTGTACATCTCCAACACTTCTGCTTCTGAGCCTTTTGTTCTCAGCCCAAACCTCTCTAGAGATGGAAGAATGAACTCTCTGTTATCTGAAGGGGTCTCCCCAGTATCTGGGGTGACAGAGAACACTTAAGAAAGGAGCTCATGCCCTTTGCCTGCTAATAATGTAGGAGAACTGACAGCATGATCTGCAACATCCACATTGGATGAGGTGGAGAGGGGTCTATCTGTTTTTCAGATGAATTTTTATGATCTGCTTTCTCAGTTTTACTAGGCTTTGCAAGATTCAGTAGCTGGGTAGCATTTCGAAAGAAAACCTGCATCTATAGGACTGAAGAAAGCAAGTTGCTGTTACCAAACAGTCTAGACTTGTTCAATAGCTCACAGAAGCTGTGTTGATCAGCACTGATCGGTAAGATAGATAATGGTAACAGCTGACCTTTCACTAGATTAATTCATTCCCCAAATTTGCATGATGGAGACAACTGCCTATTACTTGAGACTCATTGTCATGTGGACCTCTGGGAACTTTACTAAATAAACCTGGCACATAATTGCTACCAACAATATTTCGTATGATTAATTTTAGATAACAGCAGCCACAGGCCAGTTAAAACCATGGGAAATCACTTATTTCTATTGTCATATTATCAAAAGCAAGGATGGAAAGAAAAATTACAATGGGCATACACACAGATGACCTCTTTGTAAAGCAAACACAGAGCACACTCAGCAAGAGAGCAGGGACTAAACCTGAGGGCCCACTATGGATAGGCAGGCTTGTTCCTTCCCTAGCCATGGTGGCTTCTGAACGAGCCATAACTTTTTAGAAAGCTAAAACAAAAGAATGGGCTGAGGATATTGTGATTGCTCAAGCTACAGACTGTTAATAGCTGCTGGTAAGTCTGGATGACGGTTGTTCATAAGCTGAGCTCTTCAGCCCGAAAGTAACCCACAGACTGGTCTCAAATCAAGAACACAGGAACATGTAGACAACCCAGCAAGGGTTATATTGAAAAGCACACTCTTTAAAAGACCTTGCCTGCCAATTTAGGCAAATATGCAGCAATTACATCGTGTCTCTGATATGTTAAATAATTCTTTAAATATGAGCATGCGAATTCATACTGACTTTGCTGGGAATTTGTTGCTAGACGCTACACTAAACATATCCTACTGGGTAGCCACAGCATGTCAGGCTGTGGGCTTCTCAGACCTCACAAAGTAAACAAGGTTACAGCTGGTCAGTACATGTCTGGGGCATCTCCAAGGAAAATCCAGGGTGCTATCAAAAGCAGTGTAGCTAAATCAGTTGCTGGCACTCTTCCCTCTGAGTCAGTTCTGAAGTGATATCCCGATATGCTTTGGGGACACTATTTTTGGTAGAGGTGCTGGCTTGTAGACAGGATATAAAACTGAGGTCTTGACCTCCCAGGATTATTAAAGAGCCCATGAAAAAGAGTGCAAACCCCTGTGTCTGGAACAGATAAAAGCTGGGTATTTTTATTTTACCCACCAACATCTTCTGTCTTATTCCTGATAAAGTTCATGCCTGTCCTGCTCTTTCTGTGTGCAGGTGCCCATCCTTGGAGGTGGTGCGCTTCAATGGCAAGCTTCAACAACAAGCAGAGGGAACATCTCGGACATGGTTCATAGTTTGCAAAATAGGCTGAATGCTAGGATTTCTGATACACAATGTTTTAGTTTAGTTACAATAAACTTTCATGGAAAATTAATAAGCATGAAACATGAGGCTCATGAGGTCAATGCCAAACTCTCAGGGAGGCTGGGACTGGGGCTGGCTGTGAAGGCTCAAGGGGCCACTTTTCTAGCAGCCCTGTCCTGTGCACACATGAAGCACGGCTGACAGAGTCCAGAGGCGGTTCTGCTGTGTAGGGCTCCTACAGTGAAGATAAGATTGTGGTGAAGTGGGATGCCTTGCAGAGGGGGAGGGTGAATCCTTTGGGCTTCAAAAGCCTTACGCTGTCACACTGAAATACAGTGACATAGCACGGAGATGTTCAAAGGCTGGTGATAACTTGGTTTTGGCCACCACGGCTGCAGGTACCAGCAAGCCAGTGTACACAGTACAGTGAGTTAGATGCCAAAGTCCCTATTTAAGCGCTTCAGTAAGTGAAATGATTTGCAAATGTGCTGAGCACTCAGCAGCTCCTCTTGACTCCTAAGTCCTCTTAACTTTGTCCTTCTCACAAAATTCCCACCAGTTGTCACGGAAAAAAACTCAGGAGAAACGCCTGCTTCAAACTTTTTCTTTCTCTGTCTCTCCAGCACATATAACTCTGACATTCTTGTATCTCCCACTTGCCATGCTTTCCTTGCAGCATCCTATTCTTGAATACAAAGCCAATTTACTAGCTAGTGCAAGTCTTTCCAAAGAGAAAATAAAACAGGAAAATTCTTACAGAAACTCTATGTTCTAACTCAAAACCACAGATTCTCTGCTAGGTTTGTGCCAGTTAGATTCCAGCCCCAGAAGGACTTAAATAACATACTCAGAGCCAGTACACACACAAATATTCCTGCTACCTAGGAGGAGAACCGTTTTTATCATTGTCTGTGCTACCGAGATTGGTTACAAACTCTAAGGTTTTAAAAGGGCACATAGTTGAGTGGTTCACCTAGAGCAGTAGTAATGGTGACAATGTGATGTTACTGCATAGCTCCACACTAGCTGCAGAAAAGATCCTCAAAGGACTAGGACCTACAGCCTTGGCTTACCAGTAGTCTCTCTGCAAGAGACCGGCCATACTCTCTCCTTGGACTATCTGGATTATGTCATAGCAAAACACAATCAATGCACCTTTGATCAATGGAACAGGGTGGTGACAGGTACTCTTAATTCACTGTTGTTAGTGAGCATTGACAAGCCTGTAATGCTCATGCTGCAGTGTGTCATTCATGCTGGGGGCATTAGCATTCTTTAAAGGTCAAAACCCAAATCCTTCTAGAAGACAGAATTCCATACAGTTCATGGAAAACCAAGGCCTTACAAAGTCAAGACATATGCCTCTGCCCAACTGAGATTATCAGAGCTGAAGTTGGTACAGTTGTTGGCATTATTAGTGAGTTTGTCGATTTGCAGGTGTACAAACACACGTACGCATGACATGGATGAACACAACGTGCAAAAGCAGCAGAAGAAAATTTCCATCTTATGTGCACAGATCATGTCACTTATAGAGGTCTGGTTAAAATACAGTCCCTGGATCCTGCAAGGGATCCACCAAGTAAGCTGATCTCTGTAGGCATTTATCTGCATCCCATACAGAGTCTGCCCATTTTCAGTTGGGTACTGTACAAGCTTATCAATTTGCAGAATTAAAAAAATTTTAATTTACTTTTAAAAATTATGCTATTTTATTTTCCCACATTAAAAGATGTGGCACATAAACACCATCCACTGGTGAGAAGTGGGGAGACTCAATTTTCAAGATGCTGTTTCTGAATTGGGGAAGGGGCACGATAAGAAACAAAGAAAAAACTGGGATTGCAGAAACCACATAAACCAGCCACAAAATGATACTTACTTTGTGAGACTCTTACTAGCTCAGTCACACTGAAAACACCTGATGTGACAAAACTGTCCTGGAAGCCCAAATGTCCTACAAAACAAACAGAGTGAGAGAACTGCGATTAGCTTTAAGCATTTAATGACAGTATTCTCAAATACTTTACTTTCATTTAGACTTAAAATGTGACATCTAATTTCCCACTTAGCAGTAATTATTGTTTATGTAGGTGGGTAACTAATCATACAGCTATGTAGGCTGCTTTGTGGTTTCTATCTAGAGGTTAGGAAAGCTAACATGACACATCAGCAGGGAGATTTTTACATGTTAAAGCATCTCAACAGGAAATCTGAAACAAAAGAGGACTATTTTAATAAACGGTTACCTTGGATGACCCCTAATGACTTCACAATTGAAATGAAAATACTGTACCTAGGAAACAGACAGGACAGCTAAGTTCCATAATCGTTTTAAACATTATTCTCTAAAGAAACATCTGATCAGGATTATCTACCCATTCATTCAAACAAAACAAGATTTAAAGATGTACTCTTCATTTTTCTAAGGTTACACTAGGGAAATCTTAAAATAGCGGCTGGTTAAAAAAAAATTAAACGAATGCCTTTCCCACAAAAAAAATATTCTAACATTTAAAACTAGCTTTTGAAAAGTAAAATAAATCTCTGCATAAGAAAAGTATTAACTTTGAGCTTTGGACCGTCTTTAGGAACAAGGGTGTACGCCTCCATGCTTGCCTCCCTTGTGCAAGGAATGCCTCTCCACTTGGTATCAAAATGTTATTACACTTTACATAACAGTATTTTCCCTCTCTGAAAACATGCCTACCACCAAATGTTCATTTAATTTTCACGGGTGTGATCAATTACAAAAGGAGCAGTTTTCGGGCTGCAACCCAGTGTAAGTGTGTGGAGTGGGATACAGCAGTACACGCAGGATGTATCTGGACTTCAATTAGAGGGCTGCAGTTAGTCAGCCTAACTGACCTCCTGCTTTTGAAATCAGGGTCAAAGGAGAAATCTCAGGATAAAGAGATTATTAAAAGAACTGTAAAGTCCTACTTGTCCACAGGATAAGTGGCATACCTTTTTAGGTTGTCCTACTTAGAGTCACTGATTCCAGCGCACGCACACATATATTATTGAATGTTTTGCAGGGGCACCATCTGCTCTGTTGTTAATTGTTTGTCAGATTCAGTACAATTTCCCTACGTTCAGTATATTCTACTGCACCCCGCGCTCACCCCAGCAATACCTGAGCACTTTGCTCTAATGGCCAGAGCAACAGGACTAAGGCAAGTTGCATATTTGCTCTCCCGGCTTTCTTTTGGGGTTGTTTAAAAAACCGAACATATCCCATTGCCAGTTCTACCTGCAGAATGGGAAGTAAAAGAAATACATCTTGTGTGCAGAACTACAGACGGTGACATGTTGGGGAACGTGTCAGGTAATAGTTTGGGAGCGATCTGGAGGGCGGTCAGCCATTCATCTCCAGCCAAGATCTCAGCAAATTCTGCTCCGGCACAGAAGAACTTTCGTGTTTCTGTGAGGATCCTATGGTGCCAGATGAACGCAGTTGCTAAGCTAACAGACTTGAGACAAGTTTCTGCATCAGGCATGTTTTTATACTCCAGCAATAATGATGAGTTTTCAAACAGTGTATATGTAGATCTTTGGGCATCCTTGTGTATGTGTGTATACATATGTATTATGTACACAAACATATAAATATACACAAATCTGTCATGCTCCAGCTGTAGATAAATGTACTATAAAATATTGAAATTGATGCTGAAATTCAACACAAACAAATTCCTCAATCTGCAAACAAGGTTTTTATTTACATCAAGAGAATAAATTTTTCTCTACTTAAAACGAAAAAATGTTCTTACAAGCTTTTATTTTTCCTTATTTTCAGCTTAGAAATAGCTCTCAGATAACTGTAAATGCTTTTGCTTGGTCTGCTTTGTATTTTACCATTATAAAGGTGATGACCACATCATTCTGCTTTTTAGGAACGGTTGCTGGCCATACCTAATGTTTGTTCATTGAAAATTTCCCAAGTATTTTTAATACGAAGATCTACTTTTCATATGCTGCAGCAGACCTGCCTATTGAATTAAATGATCTGTGAATTAAAAATAATTCTCTTAGGTCTTCACTGGAACCACTCATGTGCCTAAAATTAAGCATATGCTTAAGTGCCTTGCTGGATCAGGGCCAGGATGCTTACTACTCCGCAGAGCCCTTCGTAGGGAAGCCAGTCTATGCTATATAACTTCTCATACTGTGCTCATCATGGCAGTATCTGAGCAACTTCCAGAAGTGCATTCAGCAATGCTACGAACATCTGTCACGTGTTGTTTTTTCACAGTGTGCCATACTGGCTCTGCATTGGTGTCCACTTCCATCCTGCATTTCTCACGCAGGTTCCCATCGCACTGAGAGGGAAGGTGAAACTTAAACATGGAAGTAAAAACAAATCACAACTAAAGTATGACATTTGGCAGATTTTTTAAGAGAAAGTCTAGAGTCCTTTATAATCATCCAATAAAAACATGATTGTCACACAGCTAACCATGTTACCTTAACCTGGCAAACGCAGGTAAAACCAGAAATGAAAATGCCGTAGAATGGTTTAAAATACATTCTAGCTCTCAGTGTCCCTCAGGGCATGAGAAAAGTTGAGTAAGTCAGCTTGAGCCTGCTAACTTCATTATTCTATTTTGCTGGGTATACTTGAAATGTCCACTTACTTCTGTAGGAACATTTCTTATGTGTGTACATATAATAGCAATGATTAAACAACAGCACATTGACGAGAGGATTTTCATCCTTCAATACTGAAAATAAACATTTCACAAATGAAAGGTGAATTTCACAATTCTCCAATTTGTTCTTTACTTATAAACATTAGGAAACCAGGGGCTCATCTCAGCAACCATTAGTAATAACTTGATACCCATAAAAGCAATGCCCTTGGCTTAAAGTTGTATCTTGAACTCATTTCAATGCATGGTTGGTCTGTGAATTCACAGTTCAGCAGAACTTCATGAAAGTTTAAAGGTTTGCCTGGATGGTCCAGATTGCAAAATCCAGGCCTAAGACTGTAGCCTTTGCTGAGCTGTGATTACAGTGCAACCAGACAATGAGAGAAACAGGACAAAGAAGCTAGACATGTAAAAGAAGAATGACTGGGAAATAGCAAGACTGACAAAATATGCTAAGTAAACATTTTGCGCCTATTAACAGGGGTCAAAGTGCAAAAATATATCAATTTGGCTGTTCCACTTCATTCTGAATGAGAAAAAAATAGGTAAAGTCAAGCAATTACATATGCAGATGTTAGAATTAACAAGCTCCTTTACTGAAAAGATGATTAAACATCTTGAAAGCTTGCAAGATTTACTTTTCATACGGCACTTTACTGAAGTACGTGCACAGTGATACTTTTGCTAAATATCCCAAAGCTAGGGCACTGAAATTGCTGTATATGATCGGGTTATCTCCACAGCTTTGTGCGACAGTCACATTTTGGTAGTAAAGCAGGTGTTCAAAAATGAGGATGAGAGAATTTTTACTCATTTTATAAAAAACTAACAGAGCTCATTCACTGAAATTCAGGGTATAAATTAAGACACCTGGCTAGCCAAGGCAGGCCCTGACTCAGCAAAGCAGTTTGAGCACGTGCTTAATTTTAATCACATGCTTGACTAAAGCACATGCTTATTTGCCCTGCCAAATAAAGATGAGCTGACAAAGTTATGCAGGCATTTAAATATATTGTTGAATCATTCCTTCAACCCAAGTCTAGGTGCAGCCAGGAGTTCATTACACAAGACCTCACTTTGGCTCACGAGGACGATCATTTTTCCCCCCCCAAGGGTGAAAAAACCATGGGCTGTAAGACCAAATTGAATAAAGCAGATCAGGGTACTAACTAATAAATAACATGCCATTACCCAATCACACATTTGGTATAGCATACAAGTGCGATGCAACACTATCTTAACAAGTACCATATGAAAAACATCTTTCCATAACTTGACTGCTTTAATTTGGGACAAAATTCATAACGCAATTTACATACTCTTCTTTTAGATCCCAGTAAAGAAGCCAGAAGAAAAGGCTTGAATTGCTGGAGCCTCATTCTGATCTCAAAGAAGTTTTAAACAAGTCTTTCTACACTGATCAAATAGCGTTTCACCTAATTTTCTCCTAATTTACACTGGCAGAGGAGAAATCAGGATTAGGACTTGTTGTCTAATGCTATTTGTTTTGAATTATTAAGCAAACATTCCTATTTCAATGAGTAAACGTGTACAAAGGCAACTAACCTTCGTCCTAAAATCTAGTTTACAGGGAGAGTATTGTCTGCTTTCCCAATTAATGCTGTAAAAAGGAGTCTCAGACGTTGAGGAACCAATCAAGAGCTTATGTTGTAGCTTGAGAAAATCATGACTGATGCAATTACTTTTATGTAGAAAGTCTGAATATGGTCTATAGGTTAAAGTTCATCGGGTTATTGTTCCTTAATTGAATATCAGAAGATGTTTTCAAGGTGCTCAAGGTATTATTGTTATTTAATTAGCAGGCTTCCTTGTGTAATCCAACAGTATTATTTTTATTATAAAATAGTTAGATTGCACTGTAAATATACAAGGTATTTTCTAAACAGAGATACAGCTGGTTTCCTGAAATCCAAGCTTAAATAAAACCAGGAAAGAGTCACTCCTTTGAAGATGAAAAAGTCCAAATCCAGCTATTTCTCTTCCACTACCATCCGAGTGACAACGTATTAAGCTTTGGAGAACAGCTTTTTGTGAGACTTTGATTCCTTTTCAGTGTTTTGAAATTACACAAGTCCCCCAAACTAGCACTGAAGCCATTTCTAAAGCCTTTTTCATGTGCAGCATCTCACTATACATAGCCATCTTAAAGCCTTAAAATAGTAATAATCAATTAGGGTCTCAAGCCTATTATCTTAACCAAATGCCTGATTAAAAGAAAAGCCCTCTCTGCTCAAACTGCAACTTGATTCCTTTTGGTTTTATCCTCTATTTAGATAATCCCATG